GAGAGAATAGCCGACAGGCGGCCAGATGGGATTGGTAGCCGATATTTGTCCGAAATCAACAGAATGCTCTTTGTGTGGCTGAGAGAAACAGCGGAGACGGTTCCAATAATCAGCTTCGATCCGCTCCGACGGGATTTTACAGTAACCAATATCTGTGTTTTAACGCGAGATCAGAACGGAAAGTAAGTGTGTCTTGTTTTCATATTTGGCACAGATATGGAGTTATGTCTGTGAGGGGCAGGGGGGCATATGGAGGGGGACGGTGTGAAAGCTACGGTCCGGGGAGCCCCCAAGGGCCCTTGCTGGAGTGGGTGAGGGGGTCCAGAGATCCACCTGTAGTCCAACATATAATCTAATTAACTCACTCCTGAGGTTATAGTTTGGGCTGAAATGACACTCACATCCTCTTGGACATGCGGACATCAAATCCAATCACTTTCCAGGCTTCGTTTTGGTGAAATTCACGGCGTGTTTTAGTGGTAAGACGTCAGGTTAGTTCACTAGATATTTAGTTTTTAATATTATTTGGTTTCGAGTTAAATGCTAATTTCTTCTCACTTTTTTAACAGAGGATAAAACCCATCAGGGACGCAGCAAATTCATTTTCTACTATGTTGAGATCCTAAAAATATCCACACATGAGGTCAGTCATTCTTTGCGCTTTCAAGGAATCTTTTTTTTCCCTTTAAGGAGGGTTGGTTAGGATCATCATCAAGGTTTAATATTTCTGTCCTCATCCCACAGTGCAGAGAAACAGTGGATATCAAATATCAGTTCCTTGTAGTTCTGATGGATCTTTGGGGTTTTTTTACGTTAACGGTGGTTTATGTTTTAATGTGTTTTGTAGGAAGTCCTTAACATGAAACACCGTGTGTGTGTGAGAGAGAGATTTCCGCAGCACTTGTGTTCTTAAGTGGACATATATCCTTTATTTTCTGAAGCGGCAAAACCTTATTCCATATGCTGAGGATGATCAGGTTTAGGATTTTCACATCATAATATTCCATTTAGGAACGAATAATAATAATAATAATTTAAAATAAGGACACAATAGTCAAACCACAGAAAACTAATTTTAGATTATCTTTTAATGTCTGCAGGCTACAGGACTGCAAGTTCCCACTTTAGAAACTTTAGCAGTAAAACCTGTCGTTAGTCAGTTTGTCGCATTGAAAATGATTTCCTATGCTGGCCTTGTATTTAGTCGATGTTTGTGTGTTTAGGCAAACACAGTTTGAGCTATCAGGAGTTATGGCGCTTTCTTGAGATGTTAAATTTTACGACTATCTCTGCTCACACTGAGCCACACTCCTCCTCCACAAGCTATAAACAGGAGCGAGAAGAGAACTGTACACCAGCAGTTTATGACAAGGTGAACATTTTGATTATAGTCACAGCTGGGGACTCTGTTCCATAACCGCATGACAGGGGAAAAAATACACGCCAACAGTGGCATTAATCTTTTAAACAACCTTTAATGTTCAGCTCTAGGACACTTTTGGTGGAGTGGCTTTCTATATATTGCAGTGTAAGCTACTTTTATTTGTTGGAGTTCTGCAGACTGATGGAAAGGAGAATTTTTTTTTTTTACTACAATAACCAATTTTATTTCATTTTATTACTGTGGCAGAAAATACGGGAAGCTATGTATTTAGATTAGATAATATTCCGCAACCCCGCAGCAGAACTGGTGCAGTAAGAACTCTGTGGTCTGTATAGCCTACAGATTTTTTTTTAGTTCAGACTCAACATTCAGCTATTATTATTTGTGTGCTGTCCACAGTGCAATATTGCAATCTCTATTAATTATTAGTTTGTAGTCTACAATATTTTGGAAACAACAGGCATAAATAAATACACAATAATAGCCCACTTAGCCTTTCTTAACTCGATTATTTTAATTTAATTTAATTGTGTATTTAGTCTATGAAACAGATTTTGGATTGATGTGATTTATAACTATAGCGCAACAATGCAATAAATCCCGCAGATAGGAATAACAAATTCTACAATTCCGCAGTTTTGACTCAGTGTTTGTGTTACATTATATTTTCAGCGTTTCATCTGCCAAATGTACAGTCAGAATTTCTCTGCTTCTGCTCCTTTGTGCCGGTCAGTCCGAGACGGTGCACGGGTTCCCAGGGCTGGAGGTCGCAGTTAATGTCTAAACCGGGTTAAAGCTGCACCCAGCTCGGCTTTGACCCGGCAGCGGGCCGGGGGCGGAGGGGTGAGCCGGCGGTCAGCCTGTCTAAGATGAAAAAGTGAAACGACCTCAGAAAGAAAAGCCACATCTGAATGGCTTTATATCAGAGAGCCAACTCTGGATGAGAGGCGAATTGAATTAAAAATGTGTCCAAACGGCTGTTTATAGGAGAATCTGGGTCTAAATCAGAACTGGGTGGTCTGTGTGCAACATTATGAATCCAAAACAAACCTACAAAGTAAAATCAGGCCTAGAATACCGAGAAAGAGCATATCCGGCTCCTGGGTGTAGGAGAACAGAGGAGGAATATTGGTCCTCAGCCACTGAGCTAACACTAATCAATACTCAACCAATAATTGGACATGGAGCTATGAGGCATGATTAAACGGCAGGAATAGAAAACAGAATCAATTCAGTTTCTGCTAATCCCATCGACAAAAATATCGGAATCAAAAATGGCTGTAACCCTCGTCTTCTCTCACACTTTAACCCTTTAATTTCAACCCAGCGTTTGCCTTTGCACGACAACAATCCATCTACAGAGGCAGAGAGGGAGAAACCAGTGAAACAATGGGATCGCGACTCCCGCAGTCCGCGTGAACTCTCGATGGTCCCCAGCTCGAGCCCCTGCGTGGCCCTGTCCAGCGCGAGGACTAATGAAACGGTGAACCAGCGGTCAACGATTCTGATTGACCCTCTCGCGACCTAGCAGCAGCTAGGCTACATTCTTAAAGAAGAATGCTCTTTCAAAAAGCGAAACATCACTCCGTTGTTGTTGTTGCCTCTAAAAGGAGTCCACCAAAGTTCAGAGCTAGGGAGCCCCATTCAAAAGGTGTAAGCTAATGATTCCAGTTCTCGGTCCCCTATTCAGCAGGAGAGTTTAGGCTGGAATAATTGAGAAAAATGAAAGTTTTAGGTCAAAGTCCTTTTTAGTGGAGGCATGGATTAATAGTCCTTAATTGAATGGATTTGGATCATTTGCACTTATACATCTGCATAGGTTCTCTAGGCTCTGCACTGTCATTATTCACCCAAATCCATTAGAAACAATGTTTAGCTCAGCTTTAAAACACCTTTGTGTTCCCACTGTTTAATATGAAACCAATCATGCTTTACATAAAGGTTCGCTGTTCCTCTCAGTCCATGCAACCCAAGCTTTTTGCTTTCCCAACAAATGGTTCAGAGTCAAACCTTTCACCAGCCCCTCACTCAAACGGCCATGGGAATTTAGTCAACGTAAACAGCTAAAATGAGTCCCTGCCAGAACACAGACAATTGCCCAAGGCATGGCATCTTGACCAAAGCTTACTCCTACTAATGCCGTGCATGAATAAAGACATGTGTGGTATATTAATTACGGCAAAAACAGAGCACAAAGAGACAAAAACAATGGTAAAATGCACCATCTATAATGTTTATGCCATCAGTCCTATTGGTAAAATTGCCTGATTATAATCTAAACTCAAATCCTTCCACTGGCCAGCTGACAACAGATGTTGCACAATAAAAATCTTTAAAAGCTGTGGCACATCATAAATATATTCCAGGAGGATCTAAATGAGAACTGTAGATTTGCGCTCAGGGCCATGTTCTGTAATCTTTTCATGTCGTCCGATCTGACGTCCAGAACCAGGTTTAGAATTTGCCATTAGCCACCATCCCAATGCTGGTCACGTTTGCACTGCGGCTGGTAGCTTGTAAACAAACTGGTGGCTTGTTTACCAACTTTGGCAGGTGACCAGCTGCCATTATTCTGCCCTCAAAACCTAGGTGGCTGACGAAAATGTGAAAAAGGTGGATTTAACAACTGCTGTAAAACAGACTGTTTCCTGGTTATCAAATGTTCAGAATAACATACAAGGCTTGTTCAACCACATGAAGCCATCAGTAACAAACTGTTTTACAGGTTTCTCTTGTGGAAGCAAATCATCACAGTTATTGCAATTCTATTTAAACTCACAGGACTTTTTCCAAACCAGTATAAGCATGTATGCATACCTCAATAAAGAGCCTGGCACTCACTGAAAGAGCTATAGTTACCACCAAGGTCACATACGCTAATTAGAAATGATATTGCAGTGCTGAGCAGGATGATGTATTATGATGGAGAGTGTACAAGCATCAATACATGGCCGACTGCTTTCACACCACTTATCCGCTGCATTAGCTGGTGTTTATCACAATTCTTTCATTGGCGTTTAGCTTGTTACACCATGTGCCAGTATATGACAAACTTTTAGGTTTCTTTCCAGAGGCGCAGACCCCGCTCCTGCTATTTCGTTCTGAAAATCACTCTCCAACTGTGCTACAAGATAGATTTCCCAACCCAGTATCCACCTTGTCCACAGTACACTGTTGGGGCTGCCAGTCTTCTAGGCAACAGTCTTGCTTACTTACAGTAATCACACTTACGTATGAGAATTAATGCGGTGTGCCTTAATGAGTTATTGATGTCAAAATGCTACATACTACAGCACTATTAATGGTTTCAATAAATTACACATTGATTCATCATATGTTCAACAAGAGAAACATGCACAGCTTAAAAAATGAAGGTTTGGGTTGAACGGTACTTTGTTGTAATTATTTTGAGTCACAGTAAATACATAAAACATGAAAAATCTCTGTGTGAGTATGTGTGAGTGTAAATCACTGTCAACAACAAAAAGAAGTCATCAGCAGCCGTCCGTGAAGGGAACCATCGCCTATATATACCCTGTAGAACCGAATGTGTGTGGAGCTGCCTCAGTCACAGATTGGGTTCTAGGGGAGTCTATGAGCGATGACTAACCATCTATCAAGATCCAAGGGGAAGAGAATGAAAAACCGGTGGCTGTTAACAGTGCTTCTACTTTGCGGTCCTGCTCTCTTTTACATACAATTCACACTTTCCTAGAGGGGCTACCTTCTGTTGATGTTAAGCACCAAGCAGCTCCAATGAGGTGACGGGGAAGTTATAGGTCATTTGCTATTTGCTTCCAAACTGATGACCAAACTGAGGATGGTTCACACATGTTGACTTACACAGTGTACAATGTGATTACAGAGCTGGATCTAATTCCCTGGCAGCATCATGGTCTGCTCTTCATTAAGATATCAAAACAGCTGTTTTGGTGCAGCATAAAGCTTAAAAGCAGAATACAATACAATACCTTGATCTGAGTACTGCTGTGCAGTTAAACCTGATTCACTAGTTACATCCCTTCTTTCACAAAGAGATGTCACATTTTTAATTTTTTTTTTTCACAGTACTTCTTATAAATATGTTGCTTTATCTTGACTTCAGCTTTAAATAATTTATAAGGGGATGAACATCCTCCTGTGGGGAGAATCAAATAATACAATCAGTTAAAGGTGTACACTAACACCTCCCACTCATTCACAGCCAAGATTTGGTTTCCATAACTAGTCCATGAAACAGGGAAAAAGGGAAGGGAAAAGTGTTCAACCTGACATGAAAAGTCAGATTCAGCCACTTTATTACTTATCTGGTAGCTTATCAGTCATTTTCTGTCATTCATTATGAGCTATTCTGAACAAATGACTCATTAGATCAGATAGATTAAAGCCATATAAGCTTTAGTTCAGCCATGCCAAGATCTTCCAACCAATTACACCCTCCGCATGAGCTCCTTTAATGCCCCAGCCAAGCCAAAACATTTTCTTCCTCTCCTCTTTATTAGAATATTATTACAGGCTATATTAGGCAGAATACATCGCAGGACATATTAAGAGGTTTTGGCTGAGCATGAGACTTTCAGCATCCTTAGAGAGCAGCTGCAGCCAAAGGAGAAATCCTCATGAAATCCTGAAGGATATAACGCGGATTTATGGTCGATTCCTCACTGCAAAGATTATTCTTTTAACACTCTTTTGACATTTGTGATTTAGCATTTTGGACAAAAACAAGTTAATTTCAACGACAGACGAAATATTCACACATGAGGTGCCCACAGAATAAAGGCATCCTCATTATAGGACTTTTTTCTTCGTGTGAGGGCTTAAATTTAGCATATTCTCACTTATCTCCTTCACGTTTTTCGATTTAAGATCCAGCATAATTCGCGTTCATTTTTCAGCCCTGTCGCATTTTTCCCCTCGTTCTGCTTGCCCTGGCATCATTTTTTAAGACAAGCAATGCATCCCCCCCCACTCATTTAAAAGCAGAGTTGGTGGTGGTGAACGGGACACCTCGGGCTGACCCCGGCCTAACAAAGCCAACTACTAGTCACTGTCTGGGAACCTTTTATCTCATTCTTTTATTGGGGGCCTTTCTGACCGGCCATGTTTTGTTGTCCATCCTTTGACTCGCCACAAGGCCAAATACGGCCCAGCCGTCCCTCAATATGGGCGAGATTAATTTTTCAGCTCCGGCCATCTGTGTGGGGGTAAAAGTCATTCAGCTAAAAGTCATAAATCTACAGTCCTGTGCGTTTTCAATAGGTACTGTGTGTGGGAGGGGGTGGGGGGTGGGCAGATAAAGAGACAAGATCAGATAGATAGATAGATAGATAGATATCTACAGAGATAGATAGATAGATAGATAGATAGATAGATAGATAGATAGATAGATAGATAGATAGATAGATAGATAAGAGACAGACAGAATTTATCTCTAAAACCATTATACATATCTACTAAAGTACATCCAATTAATTTTTAGTGATAATTAGACTCCTTGTGGCAGTGGTCTGTAGGATTCTTAAGGTTATTTATCAGTCCACAAACGTCTATTCTTAACCATTTTCCACGCCGGCAAAACTTCATTAGCCCTATAATGAACATTTTTTTCCCCTTCAAATTATCCCATTACGTCGGACATAAACAACCCGAAGTGCCGCCTCTCATTGGCTGGCCGCAGGGTCACGTGGCCCGCGCGGCCGTCCGTCTATTTGACAGCCGCAGGATGGCTTGATGCCAGAGGGGGAAAAAGAGACAGAGAGAGGGGAGAGAAAGAAAAATTAGTATTCTCCTACCAGCCTCGCTATAAATCAATCATGGAGTCCTACGTGGTGAGCTGTAAATATGCTGAGCCGCAGTTCCCGCCTTGTGAAGAAGATTACAGTAATTTTAGTGACCAAGGGGGGTATTATAACAACCCCCAGGACAGTGGTAGTTATGGAGGGGGCTATCAACCCGTGCAGCCCCCTCCGCCTCCATACACACCACAACAAACCGGCTATCAACACTCTTTGCAGGCGCACCACCGGGAGGATGGAGAGGACCACTCGCAGCACCAAGGTGTGCCCTTCCCCGGCTACAGAGAGACAGACGCACCCGGTAAGGAGAGGTTCCCCGTGGGTGACCTGCAGTGCCAGGCCTGGATGACCTGTGCAAAACCCGCTCAGGTGCAGAAGAAAACGGCCTGCCAGGGAAAAGACAAGCCGCCTATTGTTGTCTACCCGTGGATGAAGAAAGTGCACATCGCTCATGGTGAGACAGCATGAAGATTTTCATCTTTCTATCTCTAATTCACACACTCTCCATTTCATTTCTCCTTCATTTCGGTTAAGACTGTTTAAATTCCCATGTTTATGTGTAGTCTGCGAGGGGAACTCTATCTCTCTTTCTTTCTTTCTTTCTTTCTTTCTTTCTTTCTTTCTTTCTGTCTGTCTTTCTTTCTTTCTGTCTTTCTGTCTTGGTGTTTTGTCCATTTGTGAGCACCGTTTTTTGTTGGTGAGTTATTTATGATCTCGGTGAGAGTCAGGGAGAATTACAACCCCTATAAAGTTTTATGGCCCTGCCACAGGCGTGCGTGCGTGTGTGTGTGTGTGTGTGTGTGTGTGTGTGTGTGTGTGTGTGTGTGTGTATGCACCAGAAATTGTGTGTCTGCGCGGTGCAATGCCCGGCAGAACAAAAAGCTGCATGTTAAAAGTTAAAAATCGTTCCCAACCACAAATGAAAGGTTATCACTAAAAAGCCACATGACAACAGCACTAATGTTCAAAAAAGCTTTTATTTTATTTATCTTAATTTAGAGTCATATTTCCTTACAACACCAATACTAATAGCAAAGTAACAAAACGGATTAACAAAATAAAAGTAGAAGGCTATTAAATTGAAGCACAAAATAAATGACCTGCCTTTCTTTGTCATTTGTTTGTTGTTTACAGTTAATCCGAACCACGTGGGTCCGGAGCCTAAGCGGCTAAGGACGGCCTACACGCGCCAGCAGGTTCTGGAGCTCGAGAAGGAGTTCCACTTCAGCCGGTACCTCACGCGCCGCCGGCGTGTAGAGGTGGCCCACGCGCTTTGCCTGTCCGAGCGGCAGGTGAAGGTGTGGTTCCAGAACCGGCGCATGCGCTGGAAGAAAGACAACAAGCTGCCCAACACCAAAGGAAGGAGCAAAAACAAGAAAGCAACGGACAACAACAACAACAACAACAACAACAACAACAACAACAACAGTAGCAGCAACAACAACAGTAGCAGCGACAGCAGCGTGAAGGCAGCGATAACTGTGTGAACACAGAGCGGCGGAGCGGAGGCTGACCGTCAGAGGCAGCCATGTTAGCACCTTCACTCTCCTCAACTCATGTTGCTAAATGGATCCAGGGTGACTGCAGTAGCCTACCCATCTGTAGGCCTAAATAAGGCTTTATAAATTCGTCTATCATTTCCCCCCTCAACGTTTACTTTGAAGTGTTTTTAAACCATTCTGTTGTGTAGAGGTTGCATCCATTTTTAGTCTGATATCTAATTAATAATGAATGTCTTCGAGTCTTATATTTAGGTAAACGTCAAGGTTGTAGAGGGTCTGACATCTCTCTGGTGAAATTAGGGAATTGTTTTATATTTAGACATCCGATGTTAAAGGCGCAAATGCATGGTGCCTGTTGGTTGCAGTTTTACAAACTCTCCCCATATGGTGAACGAGGAGAGCTTGGGTCTTTTTTGGAGAAAACAGGGTTTTATTTCTACAGGGTAAACATAATACAGGGTTTTTATAATAGCTACCTAAAAGATGAAATAGCCTAACTTATGAATATGCACATTACCAAAATGTTGTTTCCACAACCTGGCGCTTAAATGGGTTAAACAGAAGAGCAGGAGCGCCAAATGCTCGGCGGCTGACTTGCAGGATAGTTGGACAAATAATGTTTTAGCTTTTATTTTGTACATAAAGGAACATCCAAAAAACAATGCATATTTAGTAGGATAAGTAGCCATATCGTGCAAACATTTTATTATCTCCAAAAGGTGAATGAACTCTTCAATAAGTTGGGGGAGAAGTCATACATTTGTACGCACGGGGTAGTAAATTAAAAACAGCCAAATTGGAGGTACAGGTTTTTGATGCACGACGCTGACTGTAAATCCAACGTATTTTCTCAGGGTTACAGGGTTTAAACGAACAGAACTTTCTCAAACGTTTGTTGTTTGATTCAGAGGGTGAAAATAATCCTCTCTGAAACAGCATAATGTTGCATTTTCAAAGAATATGTTCTCTCTTCGATTCCAGTTTAATATGCTATTGATTTCTATTATAGCCTACGCCAGTACTTATTTTTATTTGCGTTATTTAGAAGCATATTTTATTCATTGTAGCGAGCATCATCTCTGTTCTTTTTTTGTATGTGTTCCTCTTTGAAAAAAAGAAAAACTTCTGTAAGAATTTTATATGTGGAAATGTTTTGATAAAATACTTCGATGGTAAAAAAATAAAAATGTTTCAAAATGCAAAAAGAGCAAAACTGAGAATATTTTCTTATCTCTCTCTCACACACAATCCATCTGTGTATGTTGGGAACTTTTATTTAATTAGATTTTCACTACACCATTATCGTGGACAAAAGAAGATATTTTTGCCATATCTATGGGAATTTTAAAAAAAATGGTACCATCGAAATTCATCTTTAACTTTTATTTTGTGTTTTTCTCTTTTTTGGAAAATTAACAATACACTGAACTGTAACATTGACAACCTGTATTAAGGTGCATTACCGCTACCTATACTATATTTGTGTGTAAACAACAAAGCGGGAACAGATTCAAAAGGCGCTGGTTTATTTACACAATATAAATATTTAATCAAAATGAAGGGGTGATGGGACGGTGAAGATAAACGGAAATTACTCCAAACGTGGTTTATGAATAAAAATGAATTCATAATCTTTATCTTAAAATATAGAATCAACCCGTTCTGCAAACAAAGAGTCTCCTTTTACTGTCAATGTACGTGGGAAAAGTTTACATACACTTTAACAGAGCGATCCTCTGTACCATACACGATCTGTGTTACAGTCATAATTCAACGGGGCGTCAAGCCGCTCGAGGTGAGCCAAGATAGATATCTAGTCCGTGAGGTCTCAACTGAGAAGCTTTTTAAAACGTGAGGATTTTCTCCCCGTGGGAGGATTTAAAATGTGCTCCGAATTATTCGGCGGATAAACGGCGACCCTCAACGTTTAATCACTGGAGCGACAGTTTGCTTTAACTGCTGTCTTAAACCAAGACAGAGATGTAGTAGTAAGAGAGACGTGATGTTGGGGGGCAGGGTTGAATCTGCTGTTGCGTTAAAATATTCAAAGCGCGAGGTATGTTTTTGAAATGTAAAGTTATCAAATACGATTATGAGATGAGACTTTTATTCATGGCAGACATAAATCGTACTGCATCACAAACATCACCCGTCTCTGTGTGGTTAAAAGGTAGTATCCATTCAGAGGCTCTATATGCGCTTTACGCATTGTTTACGCACAGAGCAGGGTGCTTTTAGGCGAAAGAAAACCTCTGTCTTCGAGGTGTGTGTGTGTGTGTGTGTGTGTGTGTGTGTGTGTGTGTGTGTGTGTGTGTGTGTGTGGGATGTAAGGGAAATGAGAGGCATTAATTGGTGGCTTCCGGTCGAGACGGGGTTAAATGTGCAGGAAAGGGGCTGACATACACTAACATGGAATATCTATTACCTGCTGGAGATCCACCACATAGCTGACGAGTCAGGCCAACAAAAGTCCCAATATTCACCCACAAAGGAAACGCGTGTGAAGGTCTGTGTGTCTGTAACTGGAGACAGTAGCCAAAGAGAACTGATGGGTACTTTACTTGTTTTGCTCTGCTGTGGGAAATTCAGTAAACCACTAAACAACGTGGCATGTATTACTCTGATCCCACGTTGTAAATATAATGAGTTGATTATATATTTTGTGATAGCCTATTTTTAAAGGTTTAGGCTACAGACACCGTAAAAAAATGAAAATATGACTAGGGCTTTATTTCTAAATAGAATTTACACCAAAACAGCAAATACTGTCCCATTAATTGTAGACATCTCCAATCACATTTGGTAATGCCCGAGATGTATGTGTTTGCGCTTGGTGGACGTTATGCATGCTGGCCAGTGTGTATAACACCAACCTGCCCTTCTGCAGTCTGACTGTGGTGAAGCAGGAACGCCCCCGGCTGGTTGCACAAAGTACTGCAGTCTGAAAGAGAAATGAATGAAGAGCATAAGAAAAGCTCCATCACTCAGACTTGGGTCAGATCTCTTTGACTTTGCAATATTTGTGAGTAGCTGTACAGTCTACTGAATTAGGACTATGTGTGATGTAATCAGATTTGATTGACATAATTCAATTAGAATCAAGGAGGAAAAATAAAGGGCACCAGTACAAAAATATGCAAAACAAACAAACAAAAACATCAATAAACAATGCTTTTCACACAACTTTAAAATGTTAAATTGTTGAGATTGTGCGAAAAATATTATTCAAAACAAAAGCATGACAAATTTAAGGCGATTATTTTCTGTGGCACTGTTCTGGACTCCATTATTGTGTGTTTCTGTTATTCTATCCATTGTTACCACACCACAGACTGCAGACAAAACACTACACCCACAGATAAGCGAGTATATTATGAGTTTAGATATCCCACACTAAAAAGCAGACAGTTGTGTCCCGCTCAAGCGTAAAGGGGAACTAAAAAACAAAAACATGTACTCCCGGGGACATTAATCGTGGGCGGACCATACGGTGACTTCAGAACAAGCACTTGCCCTTAAACTTGCCTGCAGTGGAAGTGACCTTATCTCTCATTTTAGTTATCATTTAGCGATAAGGACATTACAACAACACGATGTCTCTTGCGGCGGAGGCTTTCGTGTCGCAGATGGCGGGTAATGTGTGCTTCTGTTGTTCTGTATTAAGGTAGCTTTAGCCAGCTAACATCAGCTCACGTTTACAGCCGTGAAGACGCTTCTGCATTTAAGCCACCATTGTGGTTTAACGTAGCAGGGTGATGCGACTTTAACTATGGCTGTCCTTGTCCACCTTTTTGTGTTTCGTTAGCAAACAATAGCTTGGTTATGCTGGCTGTTATACAGGACTGTCACACTATGAGTCCTAACCAAGGCGAACTAGGTGTAGCACCCGTTTTAGGCATACACAGCTAATAAATGTGCTTATTGGATTTATATTGAAATAACAAACCTAAGGGAGGAGAGCAAATTCATGCAGGGACAGTTCTCGGGGGTTCACGTCGGTGACAGCCCTGTGTCAAGATACTAAAACACGAATTACTCCAGTGAAATGACAATAAATTCAACCACCACTGTGAGATCCAAGATGGCGAATAACTTCTTCCTCGCTCAGCCTGCAGTGTTGCCTCTGGTGGCTGGAGGCTACATTACAACCTTCATGGTGTAGAGTCATTGAGTGTAGAGCCACGGGCTGCTGTAATACCGCTTCTGGCCAGTAGCGGCAGCAGTGAGCGCTGTGGGACTGAAGATGTTGTGTGCCATCTTGGATCTCGACATGGGTTGTATAGGTTGTATACCGTTGAATGGGATTTATCTGCACTCCGTCGTCATGATTCGTGTTTTTGTGACTTTATACACGCCCGGCATTGATGTGAAACCTCCTGAACTGGTGCTGAGAAGTTCACCTGCCTTCTGATGGGGGTGCATACTCACCATTCGTCCGATTAGGTTAAACTAAACATTCAGTACAGAGTCTGTGTCTCTGTGGGGCCTGTCTGTCAGCGTACAGTTGTAGATTTGAATGAACATGACATTGATTTAATTTGAATGAATGAATGAATGTGTTGCACAATTAAATAGAAGAATATAAGCTGTTAAATTCACCAGCAACATAACAGTTTGGTCGTCTCTCTCTCTCTCTCTCTCTCTCTCTGTCTGCTTGTATGTCTGTTTTTAACATCGACAGCTGCTGAGCCTTGGCCTGAAACTGCAACCTTGTACCAACCGCTGAAGGGTAAGTCTGTGTTTGTTTGAAATGGAGACACAACCTGAATTTTTCACTATAGACGCATGGCTGTCAACGTATTTGTTTACATTGTTTTGGTGTTGTCTTTACAGAGGATCAGATTCTGCTGTCGGACTGTGCTTCATCTCTTGCTGTTCAGGTGAAGTTCTCTTTGTGTGTGTTCTCAGCAAACATATTTTGTGTGGGTATTTTTCCCGCCCGCATGACGACGCCTCTGAATTTGTAGGACTTGAGATCATCAGTTTTCAACTTTATGTTGATTGATTTGCTTATTATTTAATTGTTTCGCTTATCAGTGAATGGTTTCAGCGCTAACTGACGCTGTCCTGTGTCTCTCCCGTACAGGCCTACCTCAGGATGTGTGGTCTACCAGTGCAGGTGGCTTACAGAGCAAATGCTGAATACATGTCACCTTCTGGTCAGTACACATGCTGCTGCACAGGTGGATTTACTCTTGCCATGCTGTCTTGTTATGCTATATTGTCATTACTATAATCAATAGTAACATACATTATACATAGGCAAATATATCAATCTCTATGGTAGTTCAGAAATGGTCAGCTATTCAGATTCAATCTTTAATAGTAACAAGTTATTAATAGTAACTTGTATGTACTTGTCAGTCTTTGTGGCCTGGTCTTGCACTACTTCTTTTTCAGAGTATGAGGTCTCAGACTAGATATGACCCTTTGAGTTTTGTGGTTATAAGCGCTGGTGTTGCTCCTTCGAAACTGACTGCAATGATTTTTAATGGTCTGCTTCCCTCACTCTGCTTTTTTTTTGTTTCTCCATAGGTAAGATTCCCTTTATCCATGTAGGAAACCAGGTGGTGTCAGAACTGGGGCCGATCGTGCAGTTCACCAAAGCTAAGGTGTGTAACACAGCTGTCAAAGTTGTTATTATCAAGAGATTTTATCACCTCAAGTTGTCATTGATGTAATTCTCTAGGCATATCACTTGTTAGGAAGTCACTTTACTTTCTTATTCTCTTTATTTGTTAGAAATATAATATTAATTTATATGCTCTGTATGTTTTGGGTTGTCAGGGTCATTCTCTGAGTGATGGCTTAGATGATATTCAGAGAGCTGAAATGAAAGCGTATATGGAGCTGGTCAACAACATGCTGCTCACTGCTGAGGTACACACACACACACACACACACACACACACACACACACACACACGTACACTCATTGCCAGGTAACAAAACACACATAGCTCAAACAACATAACTTTGACACTGTTACACACAATTGTAATCAATATCTCCTCTCTTCTTTACAGTTGTATATCCAGTGGTGTGATGATGCTACAGCTGCTGAGGTGTGTATACATGTTGTTGGATTAATAGAAAAAAAGCTTTGGCAGTTATTATTATTATTTTTATTATTATGCTTAATCCAATGTATGTTTTTGGTGTAGATCTCACGTCCCAGGTACAGCAGTCCTTACTCGTGGCCTCTCAGTAACATCCTCGCCTATCAGAAGCAGTGGGAGGTTCGCAGGAAGATGAATGCCATCGGCTGGGGAGGGAAAACCCTGGAGCAGGTTGGCAAGCACCCACTGAACCCGTCTAATGTTTTACATGCTTTATAGTTGTTTTCATGCTATTACAGATACTATATAAGTTATATCTATATATCTATAGATATATATAGATATGTTTTTGTATTCTCACAAAATGTTGACATAAATTGACAAAAACATAATTTCAATGCTTTCTGTGCTCTCATGTGTTTCAGGTTTATGAGGATGTGAGTCAATGCTGCCAGGCTCTCTCCCAGAGGCTGGGAACACAACCGTTCTTCTTTAATAAACAGTATGTATCTGTGTGTGTGTTTGTGTGTGTGTCTAATTAACTGTTGCCTGGCAGTGTTTTTCTCTGTCTGTCATAGCAGCTGAATAACAAAACAGCATTAGGTAGGCATAGTGAGGAGGTATACTTAAGTACTTGAGCAATATGCTGAGTCCTGCTCTGTCACTGTTAAAGGGCTCCAAGCCAAAAAGGAAATAAGTGTTTGGAAGCTTCTGCCAGCTTTTCTCTAGCACCGCCTTGTGGTGTAATACTGTAACGACCTTCCTAAGTGGAACTTCTCACATACACACATGTATAAATGCCTTTATACAAATTATAAAAACCACACAGACGTTTTGTGATGTACAGTACATTACAGAAAAATGTTAATGTCAAGGCTTTCTGTTTTTAATTTCCAATATTTATAACTGTGGAAGATGTGGATAAAATGATTGGTAGAAACAAGGAGGTTTCCCAGTATAAGCAGAGATGCTGTGGAGCATCACTGGCACAGGTTTAAACTGTATGTGATACATTTACAGTATGGTGATTAAAAATTACACTTTGTGCATGGTAGCAACTTGAAAATATTATTGCTGACATAATCTCAGGTCAAAAAATGAGACTTTAACTTTGAGTTGATCACATCTAAAAATGATAATTTGAGTGGTTCAGTGTAAACCTAGTGTGACATCACCCATTGGTTTATGGAGTATTGTTTTTTTGCCTCTAGTTTGGCATTATGGTTTTAACCATGTGGTGATGTACTGCGAGTTGAGCTGCACAGCTTGCCTTGTCACATAATTGCTTGTAGTACGGATACGGCGCAAGAGAATATGTTTCTGAAAGGATTTGATGAGAGAAATACAGTAACGTAATCTTGATTCATAATTGATCAGCACTGCTAGTTTGACTGTTGGATCTGAGTTTTGTGTATTTGCACTGGAAGGACTCCCAAGGTAGCCACACCCTGAACCCTTCTTTATTATCTATTTTACTCTTAATGAGACCATCATTTACATAATGAACAGCATGCTATATGGAAGAAGACTTGAAACTAGCAATTGAGACACAGATTGATCAGGCAACAATTTACTGAAGTTGTGGAGCTGGCTTCACTTCACATACCTGAAGGCTCTGACCAGTAATTATATACTGTCAGTGGTTCAGCAGTAACAAACTGTGTGTGTGTCTGTGTGTTGTAGACCTACAGAACTGGATGCGTTGGTGTTTGGTCACCTCTTCACTATACTGACAACCAGACTGACCAGCACAGAGCTGGCAGAGAGAATCAAGAGCTACAGCAACCTACTGTCCTTCTGCAGACGCATCGAACAGACCTACTTTGAAGACAAGACCTCCTGAAGGATGGAAAATAACCTCTCTGTGTAATCTCATCTTGTACATTCTGTCCTCCCCGCTCTCATTCCCTCTATGTAGCACTAAGAATTTAAAAAATGCTTATATTCACATACCTGTCCCTTCGTGATTTTTGCTTTTCTTCTCCCATTTGCTTTGTGCTTGTACATGGTTGCATGCTGCTGATAGGAGTCCAGTGGAGCCAGTTCTTTTAAGAGTTATGTGCCCTTCACATATATGAATTTACCAGGAGTTTTTACTATAATTTCAGGTATGGGTAACACTAAAGTACCCTAAACAAATCACAAGAAGATCATTCTTAAGGGTATTAACAACACATGTATACCACCACAAAAGGTTTTTCCCAAGTTTAACACAAAATAAATAATGCTAGTCAGTCTGATCTGTAACTGTTTTAGCTGAGCTGCTTCAGGAAGCCACCAAATGTGGCCATGGAGCCTTTACTTTTCCAGCAATATGGGAACTGAAGTATAAGAAGAAGATGATAATAATGCAACTCTTCACGAATCCTAGAAGGTGGTCTGAAGTCAGGGGTTAGCTGATGGTGAACTGACAGGGATTCAGTGTCAGGATCAAGAACACTTCAGCAGGGTGGATGCTTCCCAACTCAGGGGTGTAGACTTATTTATATGCTCTTATTTTTCATTGTTTGCACTCTGTTACACAGGAAGGCTGTCTACTCTCACGCTGAGTTTTCTTTTTCCTTCATGGAACTTTAGGAGCTTGTAAGAAATGTGATGCAGTGTTGCTTTTTTCTGTACAAAAAAGAGGATGTGAATTATTCTTTAGTTTTTCCACCTTTGTTTTCTTTGTGTGAATTGAAAGTGCCTACAGAATAAAAGTCATTAAATACAACACACGTTCTTTGTTGCTTTTTTCCACATATAAAGCTTTGATTCCAGCTTGAAAGTTCAGTCGTTGATGTTGGAATTCATAACAACATTTTTGTAAAGAGACAGATTTTACCCTGTGGTGGACTCTTTTGTGTATTTGTTTTTGTGTTGTTTTTTTTGATAAATGAGGAATGCATCGAAACCCTAACCTCCACTGAAAAAGGAGCCATGATTTAAAAAAACAATCATCACTTAAACATTGCATTCACACCATCTGAAATATTTTTAAATTTAACTGAAAATGAGAAAATATTGCAAAATTAAAAATTCTGTTTAATTAAGAAAAGAGTATCACAACTTTAGCATATGAGAAGATCCTTTGAAATCTATTTTTAGTTTGCCTTCAGGTCTCAGACAAGCTCAGTGGTAATGTCTGATCACCTCTGATTGGTCTCCAGTTGAGCAGTGTGTGTGTGTGTGTGTGTGTGTGAGAGACAAACATAGTGAGTGTCTGTCTTCCAGGTTTCCTGTGAGGTCAGATTGTGACCTTTGAACTTCCAGGAGCTGTGACATCATGACTGATGACCTGCAATGGCCAAATGCTGCACAGTTAACGGTCATCAGACAGACAGACAGACAGACAGACAGACAGACAGACAGACAGAGAGAGAGAGAGAGAGAGAGAGAGAGAGAGAGAGAGAGAGAGAGAAACAAACAGAAAGGTACATCTCATTCCAAGTCCACAGCCTTAGATAGCCATTTTCAGACCACATGACCTGGAGCCTCACACCACCAAGTGCAACATGACCACATAATCTATATCAATTTATACATTAGTTGTGAAAGATAAAACACATACTCTGAAGTAACATGCTTAAGCAATAGTTCATATTTCAGGTCCAAAAACAAAACCACGATGTGAAGTCTTGCTATGGTACTGTCTACAATGTATTTTGGTGTTTGTTCCTTACAATCAAAGCATGAAGGCTTCTTTCGAGCCTCCATTTGACACAGATCCTGAACAGTCCAGCCAGAAAAAAACATGCTCACCCATACTCACATACTCTCCTGTTAAGGGACGTTGTAAAACCTACATACAGCTGAAGGCTCTGTCCGCAACCCAGCACACAAGAAGGAAAAATGAGGAGCAGAGTAGGGATTTCCAGCACTACCTCACCTTCCTCCATGGTACATAGAGAAGGGAAAATGTCTGAAGGCCATAAGCCGAAATGTTGAGTTTTGACCTCTAAAAACCAAAATAATGTAATGTAAATCTAGATTATTTACAGTATTAGTGGACTGTGAGAATGCTGTATGATGCAGAGACTGGTTGACTGACAGCAGCCGGGCAGACCCCTGCAGGGAGAGGACTCAGGAAGCAGGTAAGCCTTTAGGCCAAGAGCCGTGACAGCTCTGACCTTTCTGCTGTCTTTATCATGTAACTACAACACTGTCACAGCTTTCAGTAGAGACAGCTGCAATGTCTATCATGTTCTTTCTTGTTTTAATACACCTCATACTTTTATCAAGGCTGGATTACCAACCGGGCAAAACAGGCAACTGGTTTGGGGCCTCAGACTATCTGAACACTTAAGATTCCAGGCTCAACATGTGGTGATAGCTTTGAGATATTTTTATTAATTGCAATTTTGTTTTTGGTGTAGTTGCAGATTATAACCCTTTCATGCCATCCTTCTGTTCAGTGTTTAAAATACAGTTACTGCATGGCCCTATTTAGAGCCAGTGTTTGGTTTTTCCATTCTGGGCTACTGTAGAAACATGGTAATTCAACAGACTCTGTAGATCTGTAGATTAAAACAGCTCATGCTAAGGTAACAAAAAGCACAACAATTCTTATATTAAGGTGATTATACACTAATGAAACATTCCTATGAATATAAGGGCTCTTGAGGCAAAACCAGCATTATTACCTAATACTGATATCTTGTAGAGGGGTCTTGAGTTAAAATCTAGTTTTCAGTACTTTTTTTATTCCGGTACTTGGTGCATTTACAAAAACACCTTTGTGCTCGATCAAATTAACACAATCTAATTACTAACTTATACACAAAGTGGAGAAAGTGTGAGAAGCAGGAAGAGAAACTCATATTGACTCAATAACCTTTATTCTGTTAACACTGCACTGAGCACAGGTTTATTCTGACCATCATGCTTAAAGGTTGTAATGGCAGACTTTAATCCAGGAGGGGGCAGCATGAGGATACAAAAGGATCCTGCTGCTGCAGAGGTTTGAAAGTTTTGTTGGCTGCTGATTTTTTGCCAAATTGTATAAGGATATATTTATTAAACTTAAAAAATTATGAAACATGCATTTTTTTCAAATAGTTTTGCAGTTTTGGGCAAATTTCCTGACAGAATTTGGATGCAGAGACCAAAACTGTGACGGTAAATATGTTGGTTTATATGTTAATGAGTGGATTGGCTTGTGTTTTGTTTTCACTGCACCACTGACCAGTATGTAGCAGTGCTGGTTTATTGTTGGATACTGGGGCCATGATGCAACAAAATGCAAAAAAAACCAAACAAAAAACAACCCAACAACAACAACAACAACAACAACAAAAACTTTGAAGGGATGGAGCTGCAGAGTCTGAATTAGTCTGAATGCATTCAGTATAATTACTTCAGTCGGAGACATTTCACATGACACCTTAGCCTTGACCAATATAGAGGAAATAATAAATGAATGGAAATCAGTTAGTCATAATCATACAGGGTGATACAATAATGCTGTAATTCAATATGTACAACATAAACTCTATTACACCCCATGTTAGGCAGAGAGAGTGTGTGTGTGTGTGTGTGTGTGTGTGTGTGTGTGAGAGAGAGAGAGAGAGAGAGACAGTGAGAGAGAGTGAAGGTGAACGTGTATATGTACATGTGCTGTGATGATATGAAGTGTCAGATTAGACAGTACATCTGGAGGCTGATAATTACACAGCTTGATTATCAGAGTGAGTCATGATACATAATCTGGACTTTCTGAGAGAGAGAAAGAGAAGGTTGTTTTTATTCTATATAGTGAGTGTGGTGAGATGGTTTATGTACACAGTGATATTTTTGTTATTTGAAAGAAACCAATGCACTTAGACAACTCTGGTGTGGCAAATATTTCTAATCTCATTCACATAAATTGGATCAGAAGGTGTCAAAGTACAGGGACAGTTTTACTGATTTGAAAGCTCAAGGCAGGGAGAGACTGAAACCTGTGTGTGTGTGTGTGTGTGTGTGTAAGCTACGCACACAGAAAATTTAGAAGAATACATTTTTAAATGACGAAATCATTTTAACACAGAAAAAATAATTTCATCATGGTTTTGTGGCTGACTTTGCACAATATGACATGACACAATCCCCCACATTCACTGTGATTTACCACCACCCTGCCAAGGCTTGACACAGTGACAGCGCTGCAGGAGACCCTGCCCTCCTCTACTTCGCACTGCGCACTCCTGGCAAGAAAACAATAACTTTTCAGTGAACAAAGCCAAATGAGTCTTCTCACTGAACGTTTCTGAATGCTTGCTAAATGCCTTTCACTCAGTTAGAAGAAGAGAAAGGGGTGAGAAAACAAATACAAATTAAGCAGTTTAAAATTACACAAATTTATCATTTCTTTAAACTAAAGCCAGACACTTACAATAACCTATGTGTATGTTTTCCTGACAAGCAGTCTCTTGTGGTTGAAAAATGACTGCCTTGGCATGATGTCGTTATAGTTATATACTTGTATTCAGACAGAATGTGAAGCATATTTTTATTTTACTCATTTATTTTTTGCATATAAACCTGAGGCGCAACCCCCACAGCTTTTACACATTAAGTTTATTTGTTATGAGGAACACTACTCAGCCTGCGGCTCTGGAGGGAGCTTTCTGAAGTTTGAGAAAACAACCCTGATGTCATCAGGAAATGAAAGATGCTATCAAGCTGCATTATGGGAAATATTGACCTCCGTCTCTTAAAGTTCCAGTGTGTAACATTTAGGAGGATCTATATGTTTTCATTAGTGTATAATCATCTAAAAATAAAATTGTTTCGTTATCTTAGAATTGCTTTTTTTATCTACAGACACCCCAACTCCAACTCCAACTCCATGAAAGTGCAACACTAAAGCCCTGGAGCGCCATTTTAACATTTTAGCTCTAGTGGTGACTCAAACTGTGCTTCACATACAACCTAAATGCACCTTTGGGTTGGGTCAATAAAACATATGCTATTGACATCAGTTAGTGTTAGTTTCTTTTAACCATTCAGGTACATGGAAACTCCATCTACACTGTCTCTCATTAAGCAGACAGATTTGCATCTTTGTATTTATGCACAAAATAACAAAGCGGCCAACGTGGTACAACAGGAGCACAAACAATGAGGGGAGGAAGCCATACATTTGTTGGTTATTGTGTAGCTTGCAGTGAACAGTCATCATCATCAGAGCAGAGGTAGAGCACCCGAACAGCGCATCATGGGTCCACTTATATCAAGGCATGTGTGTGTGTGTGTGTGTGTGTGTGTGTGTGTGTGTGTGTGTGTGTGTGTGTGTGTGTGTGTGTGTGTGTGTTTCCTAGCCTGTGTGGTCTGTTTGCGTGTGCAAGTAACCATTTATACCTGTGTATCCTCCGACACGTCTGCATCCATCAGACGTGAAGGTGATCATGCATACAGTACTTGTGTGTGTGCGCAGTCACTCTAAGTGTGCTAGGAAGTGTTTTTTTTTTTTTTTAGGCGATGTAGATTTGAGTGGAATAAAGAGATTAGCTATGTGTTGATAATCCTCCTCTTCTCACAGTCCATCTCCTCATGCTTACACACACACACGCACACTTCATTTTACAATTCCCTCCTTCTTTTCTAATTGGCCGTGCTTTTTCACAGTTTAAGCTGATAAACTTGCTTTTGCTGGAGCAGACTTAAAGTCAGAATTTACATTATAAAAAAAATACAACAAGGTTTGTCTCAGGAAAGGTTGCTGTTTACTCTAAAAGGCTTAAACATTTAAAG